TAGAACCATAGAAAAAGAAAGTAGTCTTACAATTCAACCATCTTTGTCAAGTTTCCTATAAAATTTGGTATTTGTCCAGTAAATTCATTGTCACTTATCCACCTAACACATAAACAAATACAAATATATTAAAAGATAAACTAATCAAGAATGGTTTTTTTTTTCATTTGTTATCATATTGAGCATCTATTCTTACATATTAGTCAGGTTTTTAAGTTGTCCGAGTTGTTCTGGCAAATGGGCGGTAAAAGAATTTGAAGATAGAAATCTGCCACAAATTCATGTAAAAAAATAATACCGACTAGAAAACATACAAGATTGAAAAGAATACGAGATAAAGAAATTTACAGTTCTTCCAGATGAACCAACTTTCCAATCTCAGGAGGGATTGGTCCTGAAAATCGGTTTCCTTCGAGGTTCCTGCATAATCCAAATGCTAAAAAATTTTAGAATATCAAGAACCATAACTATCATTATGAAGAACAAATATTCGCATCATCAGAGTTAAATCACATTAAAAATCACTGCTTAACCAAAGTTATAGAAAGGATGCAAAAATTTACAAAGTTCGGAGTGATGTAATGCTGGTTAACACTCTTGGAAATGGGCCAGTTAATCGGTTCCCCATAAGTAATCTGCATATGTCCATTGAACCAATAAAGACATCAGTCTATTGCATAATTTTCATTAATTACACAACAATAAAAACGAAGGTAAACCATCTTACAGCTTTTCCAAACGCATTGATGCCCATTCCTTTGGAATTGAACCAGTAAGACAATTACGAGTTAGGATCCTACATTAAGTGGTATGTGTCATTAAGAAAGTTTTGAGTCATTACACAAGCCAAGGATAGTTAGTAACGAGAATTTTGAGGAATTGTAGGAAAATCTAAAGTCCATTTGTATTTGTTTTTTATTACAGAGTTTTGAGATAACGCAGCTGAGAGAACTCTGGGGGGATAATGCCTGTCAAATTTTGCGACGTCAAAACTCTGCAGAGAAAGAAACAAGATGGTCTCTGATACGTATCAGTATCAAACAATTTTCTTTGGAGACAAACTACATATATAAGCAGGAGCTAGCGTTTTGTTTAATTTTTTGGATTCTTCTTGAATAACTTAGCAACCATGAAAGAGATTCATTATTTTGATTACTGATTCTGAATATGATTTAGGTCTTTAATTAATTTCTTAAAAGGCGTGGAAGTTCTCGAAAAGAGATAGACACTTCTTCAAGACTTTTGTCAATTATATTGAGTCGGTTTTTTTCACTTTGGTCAATGGATCAATGAGTATTTATTTTCTCTTGTCTCTGTTAAAATGCATATACACATGTATGTATTCCATTATAAAACCAAAAACATATGTATGAGTATCAATCATCACTATTAACAGTGCCATGCCTAGCATCTTAAGAGTTTTACAGGTAAACAAAAAAATAATGGAGCATTTTATATGTCATTTTGTTATGTTAAAAGTGACTTTGTTTTTCTCTCTTTAATGACGACATTTCTGTTAAAAAAAAAATAACGACATTCATTGATTGACTCATCTTAAAATGGAGGAAAATTTAGAAACATGATTTTATGACGTAATTTTTATTTTTTAAACCGTTAGCCAAATGACAATTTATATTATTATATTTAACTAGAAGTATATTTTAGAATTACCTTAGTCATTCATTTGAAATTATCAAAGAAATGACTATATAGAAGACAGTAAATGAACATCATGGTTTGGACAGCTACACTAGAGACTAGAGAGACTAAACTAAAGAATCAAAGTTAGACTGTAATAGATTTAAAAATCCATAAAACGAGGTTTCTTAACACAAATACGTACAAATATTTTACCTATAGATTAAATGATTTTTTTTTTTTTTTTTTTTTTTGTTGTAAATAATACTTTAACAGCAAAAAAAATGTCTATAAATTAATTATATACTACATTAAGGGAGTTAAAGAAAATGTTATACAACAACTATGTTATAGGAGCATCCTATAACTTTCAAAGCATCCTATAACTTTCAAATATAAAAACAAAAAAGTAAAGATTAAAAAAACTCACTGGATCAGCATCATACTGATACTAATTCAGATTTATTGTAGTTTCTTGAATAAACATCTAGAAAGAAAAAAAGGAAAAACAAAACAGGGTTTCTTAAGAAAATTGATCTCTACCATTTCACTTTGTCACTTTCCATTTCCTCCTCTGGTTTCTTGACCACAGTTTCAAGCTTCTTCTTTGCTTCATCATCAATTCCAACATTGTTCATAGCTTGCACTACCTCATTAGCCTCTTCCTCTGGTTTCTTGATGACCACATTCTCCGATTCTTTCATCTCCTCCTTAGTGACAATCTTGAGCAGCTCTTGTGGCAAAGCTGCTGGATCAAGCTCCAAGCAACCTTCAGGAGCATTCTCACCATCTTGACTTGTAAGAAAATGAGAAGGCACCTGATGCGAGAACCTGAACAGTTCGTTCCTTGGGAATGTCCTATGTTTTGGAATGCGACGAAACACAGTTATGAATCTTGGGACTTGAACTAATGGCACAACCGTCACACCTCCATCTTCACTGAAATCTTGAAGAACTTCTACCATTTCATACTTGTTCATTTCTTCTACTGAAGTTGAAAAATCCCAAGATGGTGACCAATTTTCATAAAGAGCCCATACATTGCCTTTTCTCGGATATATGTGCACCAATCCTTTCTCACATATTGTCCACTGGACTCTATGTGAGAATGAGTTGAGAGAGTCGTTGCTACTACGTTTATGGATTGAGAAGCATCCACTCGTCTTGTAATACCCTGAATCAATCCACTTCTTCATTGAACCCACATATCCATTTTTCTTTCCATCAAGCCAAGAAATACACGTCTTGAACGGTTCTTGAGAAACAACCTTATGGACCAATGCATACCACTGAGGCATTCCGTAATCATCATAAGCAGCCCATACTTGGTTTTCTCCGAAAGAAGCTTCGACCCGATCCTTTTCGAAGTTGTAGAAATCAGCATCTGGAACACTCATAGCCATTACATCATATTCCTCCTCCATAATCACATCGTTAGTGTTCTTGCTTTCGCACTTTACTCTTTTGGCTGCATTGCTTTTCTTCGAGTCTTGAGGGACTTTTGTTGCAGAACCAACGTTATTTTGCGGAGATGCAGAGTCTAACCTTTCAAGAAACAGTTCGATGATACACTGACCCGTTTTCATCATAGTACTTCGAATCATACTTGGAGTAAGCTCCATGCTGTCACGTCTGATCCCTGCGTCTTCGCTGATTCTTCTTAACTGAGGAACATGAAGCAGGTTTGTTGATGGAGGTCCCTTTCTTTTGCTTTCTCCTCCACTAGTTCTTCTTGGTTTACAGGACCAGAAACTCTCAATGGAGGTTGTTCAACCTTAACTTCAGCTTCTGGTTCAACCTTAACTTCAGCTTTTGTAACGCAAGGACTCATGAAGATCATCATACCTCTGGATTGAGAATCAGGATGGACAACTTCAGATTTTTTTTCGTCAGATTAGTTCTTTTCGAATTCAACGTGAAAGTAAAAAATCTCAAGAGATCAAATTTTAAAACATCAAAGTCAAAACCATAGAATGATGAACATAGGGAAAGGATGAACACTTATTATGAATTATATTGCCAATTATGTAACCTGAATTTAAAAATGTATTCAGTCAAAGTTTTCATTGCTCATTCAAATTATTTCCACATTAATTGATTGTAGTAAAAAAAAAGGTAAAAGGAAAATGAATTCTTGTGTGAGAAGTGTGGACCATTTTCATATAAAGGAAGATTTATTACTTCTTCTAAACAGTAAAAATATTATTTTTTATATTTTTTTTTGTCGTATGTAGTTAATATTAAACAACGGAGACATACAAAGCCGGAGAACGAAAGGAAGTTCCCAGAGTCAAAAGCCCAGCGGAAAATAAATATTTCTGAAAGACAAGCCTTATGAAAGGGCGGCCCATCTCTAGGGGTAGGCAACATAGGCATTTGTTATGGGTCATGTGTTGCCTTCTTATGGTAAGGGAACATTTCAAATGCCGTTAGAAACCCGACGGATATTATTAAGAAAATGCCAAGAGTGAGATGGCAACATCTCTGACCTAACTAACAAATTTCACAAGTCTTCCACACTTTTTGGAAGGACAAATTTCAAGATCCATCTACCCTACAAACAAATAGGGATGTCAAATGGGTGTAATGACCATGGACTAGCTAGACCATCCAAATTATAATGGTCCGGTTATGGTTACGTCCAAAATTGAAACGGTTTATATATATATATATATATATATATATATATATATATATATATATATATATATATTTGAAACCAATTTAACCCCGCAAACAAATGAGACGAACTCATCATCTGGACATTAACCATCTAATAAGTTTCAAAATTTAGGGGTTTTTTATTCTCGAGGAAAAAAGTTTTCTTCATCATCTCCTTAAAATCTAGGGTTTAGTCTAATTACTTTGTTCCTTTCACCAAATCCAAAAACTTAGGATGTAGATTCTCTTAGTGATTCTTCTTAGTTCTTATTCCTCGTCTCCTCGCATTTTATTTTTATTTTCCCAATGATAGTTTCACGCCAAAACGTGATTCTGTGTTTTTTCGCCAAAACATGATTTTGTGTTTCTCGCCAAAAATATGATTTCCCATTTTCCGCCAAAAATGTGAATCCTATTTCTCGCCAAAAACGCAGTTTTGTGGTTTTACGGAAAAATGTGATTTTGCGATTTAACGGAAACGCAATTGTTCGATTTTGACAGAAATTGTGTTTTTGCTGGTTTGGGGGGAGGGGAGAAGGGGGATATGATTTCACGGTTTTGGTTGAAAACTGTTTACCGACAAATCTTTGACAAATTATTTTTAAAATAATTTGTGCTAGTGATGTGTGGTACCATACAAATTCAAAGACGTGTATAATATATGTTACACGTCTTTGAATTTCTATGGTACCAATTTTTCCTTTACAAGTATTTTTATTTATTCGCTAAGACAAAAATTAGATATTTGTGGTTGTAAAGTCACCTCAAATTACTTTTAAAATGAGAAAAGTTAATTTAAAACAACACATTACT